TCATCCTTAATTAATAATGTTAACTTTAAATTGGTCAATGTTTTGAAATGATAAAAATTTTAACTGTGTATTTTAAATTGAATTTGCTTAAAATTGTTATGTAATATTTCTCAAAAAATATATATTTTTAAAGATTATTTATTTGAATTTAAATCCAAATTTATTTTTTGTTTTTAAAGAAAATCTATTTTGCTTTCAATATAATTTTGATATTTTAATACTCCTTCCATTCCAAAATATTTGTCATTTATTGACTTTTATGGAATTTAAGAAAAAAGTTGACTTTAATGTATTCAATATTAAAATTTAAATTCTTTTTATAAAATTAAAGTTTCATGATTTTTAAATCTATGAGATTACATAACATCAAATATTTCATTATTTGAGGGGATCTTGGTATTGACATTGCCTTCATATTCACGTTAATTAAATGAAATACATATATATATGTATACATAGATTCTTAAACTATGAATACCAAATGTTTAGATTTGTCTATCAATAACATAGTGCTAAACTACATAATTTTAATTCTAAAAAATTATATGAGCTATTAATTAAGGACAAAAATTTATACTTTAGTATATCACTAGAATGATGCCCTTATGTTGCATGGTACATTTTTTAAAAAAGTTATTTATGAAAAATAATTTTAAATTGAATAATATGGTAATTAATTTTAATAATACTTATAAAACATAATAAAGGCAATAAAAAACAAAATACTAATTCTAAAATATAAACTTTTAAAAGAATAAGAATAATAATAAATCCAAAACAATAAATATAAAAGATTGAATTTTAAAAAATTTAAAATAAAATAAATTTTCACTTATTCAATTTATTATTTTTTTTATTTTTTATTTTTATTCTATGCATTATTTTATTTTTTAAAAATAATAAATTTAATTCATGTTGGTAATTAGAAATTAAATGGCATAAAATTTTAAAAAATAAAATCGTAAAATGGAAGCCAATTAGTAAAAACCGAGTTCGGTGATGAGCTACCTCCTTTTCGCACTGAAATTGGGTTTGGGGTCAAAACGTCACTGGCAATTCAGGTCATGCATTTAATGATGTTGTGTGGCCCTGATAGAAAGTAATTGGAAAAATTAACTCAAATTTGCTTGACAATAAGTTTCTATTTTCTAGTTTGTAGCATGAACAAAGGTTTTAGTTTTGTGGAAAATAAGTTCTGGTTTTGTGGAAAATAAGTTCTTCTCTGCTTGCATTTACACGCTAAAAAAATATTACTTGTTTTATTGCAAATTTTTTCTATAACGTTTCGGCTACGATCGAGAGAGAGTGATGTTAATGACTAATTTATTCAAATCTCAATTTGAAAAATAGTGAAATTTATCATCGATGAGAGAAAGA